GTTTCAACATGCGCAATCTGGGAAATATAGTTGGTAGGGAGGGGGGGCGCCTACTACTACTACTACTACTACTGGGTAATTTCTAGGAGCCCTAAGAAGAATTTGTCCAGATCTCGCCAGAGGTCTGCATAGTGCAGCGTAGTAAGTACAAGAGTATATTCGCCGGACTGCTGCAAAGAGGCCCTTACACAGGATAAACTGCAAAAAAGCTATCCGAATCGTTTAGAAGCATGCGGCAAATCCAATTTTCAAAGATGTTGGGCACTCTGTCGGGCGTGATTGTGCAATCACCTATGTTTTGCGTGCTTCTGGAGAGCGTAAGGCGGAGTTGCCCAGCATTGTGGCACCCTGTTGAGGCATCCTACGATCAGCATCCAAGTATTTGGGGTATATATAGAAACTTGTTGGGTTTGAAGTGTTTATTCCGTAAAAGGGCAGCTGATAGAGTGAGGTTTGACTTTGCCACTTGATCTTTGCAAGCGTTGCTTAGATCTCATCCTGCGAAGAAAACCAAAAAGCCACGAAACACCCAGCAAACCAAGGGCAGTACCAGACTCAGACTTTGTATAAACTATAGAGGAAACCTTTCAGCACCCAACCCTCCCTCAAATCCTGGTAAGCTACCCAGCTTCGAATTCAAGTAAAGGCAGCTTCTTTTAGAATATGTGCCCAACTTTGAAAGCAGGATTCTTCCATGCCGCGACTGGAGCAGCCGACCTCTTCGCAACAGGCGAGCAGGGGCTTAGCGTTTAGTGGTTGGGGTTTGGGGGATAGTGATGCCTTGAGTTGTGCTGTGTTTTGGTGAACCTTTGAGTTTGGGGGTTCATAAGAAATCCTGCCCAGGAGTCCATGGTTCAGGGATTAGGGTTGAGGACTGAAAGTTGTTGACAGTCCCCGCGCTGAGACGGGAACGGTCATGGCTGAGCCACAATTAGCCCAGGGCATGAGCAATGAGGAATGTAGATGACTCTGTGTTGCTTCTCATGAGAGTATATGCTGTTGATTGAGCACAAACAAGCAATCACAGGGTTAGAAAAACACAGGTTGGACTGTTTTTCACCCAGGCTGTTAAGTTGAAGGTTGATTTTCACTGACCTCGCAGGGCATGATGAGCACCACGCGCGACAGAAACTCCTATGGCAATTTCTTCGTGAAAGAGACGACCTGGGAGAAGGTGGGCGGCTGTCAAGCAGGGCAGGGCTCAGATCGCGCCAGTAGCTTTGTTCAACAGAATGCGGAGATCCCCCAAGAACACGTCATGGTCTGTAGGGGTGTAGCTTATCAGCCACAAACATTCTCGCACAAGATTCGTGCCAGCAAGCATCGACGTCATCTCAACCGCCGTGGGCATACCTACCACTAGTCAGTGCTGCAGCAGGAGGAGGCGCAATATTCGTAAAAGCAGCACAAGTAGGAGGATGAGGACACTTGTCCTACCAACTACGTGTTTCTGAAAACGGCGGCAGCGGTTGGATGTGCGACACAAGGATGGGGGAGAGGGGGGAAGGGGCCAAGGGGGGGATAATTTTTGCTCACGCCCCGACCAGCAACAACCTCAAGACTTTGCACTTCATGAGCGCTCGTTAGGTTTAGGACCAAGCCACAAGCGGCATCTTGGAGAACACGCATTAGCCACTTTAACCCTCAAACTTAGTCATATGTCAGCTAGGCATATGCCACAGCATGGCTCTGCGTCTGTTAAGATTCCAGGGCTTCCGTTTAAATCGGCTGCAACTGCTGCGGAGCAAAAGGAACAGCTTTTCCACAGTTTCGGCCTCATGTTCATGTAAGTTGGCAGGCCGGGGGGCAGCTGCCAGTAGTAGTCGTCGTTGTTGTCCTCGCAGTAGCTCAGCATCCAGTCCTTATCATGTTGGCTTGTTCTTGGTGGTGGCGACTTCGGCGGTGGTTGTGGTGGGGGTGGTGACAAGGGGTGTAGTTGGGTGGCGGCGACTGGTGTCCAGTGCACGACGCTGGCTCAGCAGTGGACTGCGCGAAAAGTTGTTCTGATAATTGCTGCCATTGAGGTGGGCTTTTTGGGCGAGCGCACGGTCAAGCCCTTCGAGCAGAAGATACGCACTCCACTACCAGCACACTTGCGCGAGGACTGGCTAGGAGTATACCGTATGCTCTTCCCTGTAAGAGGCGAGAGTAGGACATCAGCTAGAAGAGGCATGGAACGCAAAGCGGGACATCCTTGCAATGGGCCCCACCAATATGAAAAAGATCCCTCCCCATCGTGGCAAAGTCTTCTATTGACTTGTGCTGGCGCTACATTGGGTTGGGAGGGTCTAAAGTTCCAGAACTTTGAGGCAATTAAAAGAAGCAGCACATGCTTTTTAGATAGCAGGAGAAGAGTGGTATGCGTGCGCCAGTAGCAGATCAGAATGACAAGAACCAAGGCGACAATCGGGAGTCCATGCTGGCAACGAATCATATGCAGAGCCATACTCCAATAGACATCGCAAACGTCAAAGATGCCGAAAGGAGATGCAAACCGAGCGGGAGTTTGTGCACCAAATATCCCTGAGGTTTCCCCAGCCCCGAAATTGCAACGGGAACATTTTCTCTGGCTAAATGGGAGTTTCCACCAACCTATGGGTATAGCTTTTGCATGGCTTCGTTTATGGAATCCCCCTGTTTTAATGCAACTGTTGCCCACCCCAAATGTTTGGAAACTGCCAGTCAATGTACAGATGATCGAAGCACACAAGGCGAGGTGCTGGCGCTGGCGGCACCTTGCATTTAGGCGAGCTTACTTCCACTGTTTCGAGGACTCCAAAAAAAATCCCGAAAAATTGGGGTTTAGGGTTTAGGGGTGGATTCTAGGAATCTTGATGGGAAACTTAGGCTTCTTTTGTTTTGGGGTCCTCAGATTATAGGGCTGGCTCCAAGAGCTAGCTCTTCAGAGCATTCCGTGCGCCTAAGGCGCGCGTTGTGAGTAGCCATACGTCAATCTGCAATGTAGAAACCTACATCTTGTTTGTTATGAAGATTTTTGACCAACCTCACCCTAAATGGGGGGGGTGCATGACGACGATAGTCCCCAGATGTCCTCATTTCAGGTGTTGGGATCAGTATACCTTGGCCAGCTCATAGGCTTTGGAAGTAAGTTAGAACTGCTATGCACCCATATATACACACACACACATAAATAGTACATACACACACATATATATTATATATGTACGCCTATATTAGTTAGGCTTACTTTGCCAACGACCTTGGCGTTTTCCATCGGCCTTCCAAGTGCAGCAGAAAAACGAAGCCCCACGCCTCGCAACAGGATCTAAGGTTCGGATTCCACATCCAAAAAACACAAGAGCAGCATCATGGCCGTAACACGTCAAAGCAGTCATCTTTTTTGTGGTAATGGCCATATGCGTTGTGATTATGACAAGCACTCGCTCACTGTTGCTATTGCCGAGTTTGAGGATCACAACTTGGATTTCGTGGTAGTGCTGGTTTGCTCAGATTTTTGAGCTAGATGGCACTAGCCAAGATGTCATGCAAAACTATCAGCATCGGAGCTCTGCATATACTCCTAAACTGCAGACCACCCTAGGACCTCAGGACAAGACCCATATGCAAGTCTAAGGTCACGCTGATGTACTCCGGCGCTGCCCCAAGCTTTTGCATTGCATTTGCAGACTTTGGGGAGTGAAGGACAAAATATGACAGCTACTGTAGGGAGGAAGAGTTTGCGAGTATGTCCTTCATTCCTGGTTCAGTTAGTTCAGACCAATGTTCCTGCTTTCTTAGTTGTTTGAATGCCTAAGCCCCATATGAAGTAAGGTGAGATCACGCAGTGTAACACTATGATGTAGTATAATGATACTGAAATGATACCGAATAATCTAGCGATATGCAACAAAGATGCATGAGTTAGAGATGCAATGCCATCTCTCAGGGGATCAGTCACAACGGAAGCTGGCACACGAGGTGGGCGATGAAATTCAACAGCTTAGTTTTGCTTCAGTGGAAGTGAATATTGTCAGTACTCTAGGGGACAACACAGGGATCTGTTTCGGGACACACACTTGGCAGTTGACTGACGGGTCTTTGTGGGGAAGTATGAACCACGGGCTGGAATGCTTGAAGGCAGCAGCTGCTGCTCATCGCCTGCCAGGTCTTGACGCAAGTCAGGACTCATCCGGACTCCTGGTTTGCTGTAGACACCATCCTCGCCACCTCGCACAGTTCCTCGGCCATGCTTGAGCTGGTACTTGGAATGGAAGATTCTCATGGGTTACTTGTGTTCCCGTTTGCTTTAGAGCCCAATTTTTGTTGCGTGTAAGTACTGATGGTGGACCCTGTTTTCGAGAAGGCGACTTTTTCTTATGCCCGGGCCGCCAGCGCCAAGTGATTGCTTGCCAGGTCCTGACACAAAGTTCTTCGCGGCTCGGCAAGCAAGTTGTTCCTATCCTTACTGTATCAGCGGAATTCCCGTATTCAATTCCTCCTACGGCAACACAACTTGGACTGCTCTGGCTGCCCGAAGTTTTGATCTAAGAGCCTTTCAGCCAAGGCGCTGAATGTGCTGGAGAACGTGATCTCCACGCGATGGATGGTCTTGACTGACTCACAGCAGCTTCGCGGAAGTTTGGTTTGACTCTCACCTAGCCCACAAAAATTGACTGTCCCTCAAAAGCCTGGCTGGTTTCCAAGGCTCTTTGGGGGGCAGTGTTGTTCTTGAGTGGGACTGATCCAAAGCCTGAACCCCGATCACAGTATCATGCGGATCCTCGTGCGGACATACTCAGGAAGGCTGGCATCAAGAACTACGTGGCACAAGCCTCAGAAGGGGCCTCTAAGCATCCCGCGACTGGATAAGTCGGGGTTGCTAGGTGGATGTGTCGCTATTGTCGTAACTAAGAGAAGCAGCACTGTTTTGGTCCCTTGGTGTTCCTTTTAGAAGTATTGGTGAAGATGAAGCTTCCCCAAGCCTGCCCAAGAGACGTCATCGTTGCTGAGAATTGTCACGCAAATGCAGAAGCCGAAGTACATGCGAGCAATGGTATCAGCAGAAGGAGAATATGTTCCAGGCCCTGGTCTACAAATCAAATTGTCATGCTGCTGCCACTGAGGTGCAGCTCGTGATCAAGATTTCAGCTGATGAGCACTTTGCTGCGACGCAAAAGCATGTACTCACGAAGCTGAATGAGATGCTCGCCCATGTTTTGTCGAGGTTTAGGGTCTAGAGGTGGGTCGGGGCCTGATAAAAGCTTCTACACCGTGGGACCATTTGGAGATTCTTCGGGGGGGGGGAGGGACTTCAGCAGCATCGCAACTAAGGACGCTGGTGAACATCGTCAAGCAGGAAGCAAGTGCAGCAAGATGGTCATAACATAGGTTGCTGCTCAGGAATAATAGAATATGACCATTCCAGTTAAAAGAAAGCCCAAAATTAGTGATAGTATATCCATGTCATTGTAGTTCAAGATCAATACCTTAACAGCCACTCGGTAAATGTCTGAGATCAAGATCTTTGGAGCTTCTCACAGAGGGGCCGCTTGTCAGGGTCCCCATAAGAAGGACAATCAGAGGTCCCATGAGTTGCTCGGAAACTCACAGGTTGTGGATTAGGGTTTAGGGTTTCAAATGGAAAAGAAAATGGAAGCTACTAGATTCTATTGGGGTACATAGGGATAATGGAGAAGAACATGGAAGCTACTCATCCTCAAAGATGCCCACACTGCTCCTCTTGGGCGTCCGTTGCCAACACTGCTGCGTAATCGGGGAACCAGAGAATGATTCCTTTTGTAGCAGCTGGACCGGCCAGCTCATTCCCTACCACCCTTTGCAGAGATGGTGTAGGTAGTTGCCCCTTTGTAAGGTCAGGCCGTTCACCCAACGGTTTGATGAAACATGGGGCCTCTCTTGCTGGACCCCTGGCAGTGCCCTGCACTAATCACCACAAGCTCCTTTTCCTTCATCCCCTCTTTACACACTGCTTCCCCAATGTGCTGTATTTACCGAACCTGGGTCAGACTATCCAACAGTCAGAGGAGTGGCCGCACGCCTGGGAGAACTTTATCCCAGATATTTGTGGCTCCTGCAAGACCAATCAGCCCCATGGCTGCAGAGCTCCGGATGCACAGGGTGGCCTCCAGTAGTAGTACTAGTATCTCTCCTACTATCATTATAGGATTTGTTGGTATATTTGATAGTGTGATTACAGTAGTAATAACATCATAGCTGGCGACCTTCTTGTTGCTGATCATTGCAGATAACTCTTTCAGTGCATGGCCGCGGTCAGCTTGTTGCTGATCTCTTCAAGATTGCTTTCCTATGTCCAGTCTCAGCTTTGTTCATAGTGGACTCTGCTACTGCGAAGTTCTGTGGGCTCACTTTGAGTGCTCTGGTTGTAGGAGAGTCCCTAGGCAAGTTGGATACAGAGGAAGCGAGATTTGCCCAGAAGCTACAGGTGAATGCAGTGCTGCTTGCCCGTTTCACAAAACCTCGAGGCCTAGCATCCTACTCCATGGTTCCACCCGGCTTAAAGTAAGGCTCCTCTGCGAAAACAATCTTCGCATCCTCAACATGATGAGCGAGGAGAGGGCTTGCAGCTTTGGCGTACGGACTGGGTCTGGAGTTCCACAGTGGGGTTTGACGGTGGTGGGCCTGGGGGCTCGGACTCAAGTTTCAGCAGTGCAAAACCCATATATCCTCCATGTGCGTGAGGAGATCTTCACCTTCGGGAAATCCCAGATGGTCTCCAAGAAGGCCGTTGGTTGCTCGTGGGCTTCTGCAAGGACAATGTTTTGTGAGGTAGGAGGCACCAGTTTGGTGTGCTTTGAGGCCCTTTGTTCGCGAACATGCCAGGTATTGACCGGACATATACAGGATCCTATCCCATAGAGCTGTGATGGTGGAGGCAACCAGCAGGCCCCGGCAAAACCGTACACCCCAAAAGGCTATGGCACCCCTGATCTTGAGACCTACTCCGTTCAGCTCTTCTAAGCACAAATGGGACCCCTCAAATTTCTGAAATATCCAGGTGGTGAAGCTTAAAGAGTCGCTGAACGCGCAGTTTGCGGCTGTCTATGCCGCTTGGAGACAAGCAAGAAGGTGCTGGGCTGCATACGACGTAGAGAAGGCAGTAGGACAGTATGATGTTGAGCGCATGGAGTACTGTAGTAGTGTAGCAGTGTAGCATATAATAAAGTATTGAGCAGGAATTTCCACAAGGTGTTTGTCGGGATAGGTCAAGACGGGTAAGCAGCCGGGGGTGTGGGAGAAGCGGGTTCAATAGCTTTGGGGCATTGGTCGTTGAGCAGCTCAGTGCTCAGGGTATCGTTCGGCTTCGGGTTAGTCTACAGGTTGAACACAAGGCTACGACCGACTTGCATGCATGCATGCGTTTAGAAACACGGTAGTTAATACTGGGGTGCAGGGTGCTGGGAGTCCAAGTACCCCAGTGTTCCAGCAGGTCCAGAGGGACATAACCCAATACCTTACACTGAGCACGCGCGGATCTCATGGGGGGTTGCTTAGCAGGATATGGGGTGACATTCGGAAGCTGCTGGTTAGTGGGTGGGATGAATTCAGTGTCCCAGGACTTGCTGGCCCTTTCTGGGTGTGATGCAACCAGGGTCCTCTTTTCACAGAATTGCAGAGGTCAGAGATGCACAAGTCTTTGGTATGTGATGGCATGAGAGTTCGGCAATTCGCCCCATGAAAGCTCAGGAGCTTTGCACCTACATTCTGAAGAGCTCCTGGACAGCAACTATGGTTGTTGGTGACAACTGCTTGTTTCCCAGACTTAATGTTCCTTTCCTGAATGTCGGCTGTAGCAATGTTCCTTAGCATCCTGGCCTCACCGGCAAAGCATCCTGCAAAGTTGCAATACTTATTGCAGCACTTGTCAGGGGAAGCCATCGTCTCGGAGCTGATAGTGTGCATAGTCAGCAGTTCATGCAAAGTGCCAGTGGAATGACATGCCAATGCCTGGCGCAGGCCATGTTCAGAATCCTGGCTCTGTGAAGCCGTCGCTGATCAACACAACCCTTGGCTACTCAGCTCCATCTCAGAGGTGGATTGCTGTTCAGGGTACCATCGACTGACAACAATCTGGGGAGATCGGCCCAAAGCCTTACACCATACCCCAAGCCTTTGCCCCCAAAATGGGTGTTCCGCTCCTTATTCGAGCTGGGTTGCATCATGAGTGGAACTTGGCATTGGTCATGGTCTTGCGCGGTAGGGTCATTGAGGTTTTGAGATAGCTTCACACGGAAGGATAGCACTGTCAATAGTCACAACCACAAGGGATGTTACGATTCTGGCGCTTGGGAAGCTGTGCCGTCGCACGCAAAGGCACTCTGGCAAATTTCCTGGAGTGGATCGCGTGCCTGGGCAGCATGGAGACTGGTCTTCGTTGCAGAAAAGCTGACATGAACGTTTCTCAAGAGGCTGGTCTGTCCAGCAATGGTCAGAAATACAGCAACCCTAGTTTCTACAGAAATGTGCATGGCGCGTTGGAGGTCAAAGTTGGCAATGACATCAGGCATCACTGCTAGTTCTGGCATCTTCCCATGGCTAAGGTCCCCATCATAAGTCTTCCTTTGTGATTGGGGATGGTGAAACTTGTAAAGGTTGGCCTTTATCTTCGAGACGGACCTGATCCAGATGCTGTTACTCCATTTCTGGGATCCTTTGGAGAAGCTTGGAGCTGCAAACCATGTTCAAGTTTGGAGGTTTCTCAAAAATCTGGGGCGGTACTTTTGGAGCTAGCTATAGGGCTGTAGGGGGATCCTTTGCATGCAGTCAGGCATATGCATAACAAAGGGTTTCATATGATTGGCTTTGTGTGGAGTATAGGAGGGTCAGAGGTTCTTTTCATTGGAAACACTTGAGAATACTTGAGACTTTGGTGGGTCGGGCCGGTGGCGAGGGTTTGGAGGAGACCGCTGCCTTATCGGGTGTCCATGTAGCACGGTGGTCTAGAAAGTTCCTCTTGGATGATGTGATGAAGGCTTCAACCGCCCGCGCTAACTTGCCGCAAAGATAAGGGCATTAATCTTTAAAGCCGAATTCTACAACAAGACCCTGAAAGCACGAAGCCGTTACATCTCAAACCCTAGTTCAGCTCGGCAAGCGACTGAGAAAGGCTATACACCCAAACAGCAAGTCACCGCGCGGCTGAGGTATCGACTGGACTGCGACTGGCTCAGAGTGCAACAAGCGAAAGTTTTGTGTCAGGCATTATGCCAATTTCGCAATACCAAATCAAGTCTCATCTTTAAGAAGCGCTGATGTCGATACTGATATAGACTTGGCATTGCAGCTAAAAAAGCTCATGCAGCAGCCCAAGGCACAAGGTGTCTCAACGAGATTGCTTGCCTGCACGATGGCGTGCAGCAGTATCAGCCGCAGCCGCGCCCTCATAGCTATGCATGTCGCCTGTAGCCATGTCTCGGAGAACTACCTTGCAGCAAGAGCGCGAAAGTGATCCAACCATGTGGTAGAACATTGAAAGGCAGCCGGAAATCTGACTCCCTCAATTACGATCTTCATGAAGGAAAACGTGGTGCATATATATATATATGACAAGAAGCCAAACCGAAATCCCCAAATGTTAAGCCTGGATCAGCACCCAGCAATGATGCAAAG